CCAGTTAACTTAATTTGACCATCTTTGTAAAGTTGGTCGAAAATCAATTCTGATTTTGAAAAATCAAAGGAATATTTCCTAGTTTGAATTGGAGCACGATTGGGCTTTCCACCTTGTGGTTCCCCTTCGCCCTTGGCTAGAGAAGCACACACATATGGCTTCCCCTCCACAATCTCGGCCAAATCAACTTCAAGCTCGTCAACATCACTGCCGACGTTATTCACACCATAGTTTTCAAAATTAGGGAAATATTATCCAAAGAGAACCACTCCTCTTATGTTCTTCTTCATGGAGAAGAGATATGTATCTAACAGCACATGTATCAATTGAAACAGACCAGAAAACTCCCTATCTTGAAACTTTTTACAAAGTTCAAAATTCAATCCACCCTGGGCAAGTTTAACAAACTCGCGTTCTGTCAAGTTCACAAAACAGCGATTTCTTGCATTCTTAAAGTTAGTTAAAAAGTGTTCCACTGTTTCTCCTGGTTGTTGGCGCATTCGTGCCAAATCTGCCATAGTTACTTCTGGCTCAGAATGGTAGAACTGGGCAAGGAACATTTGTTCCATTTGCTGCCAAGTTTGAACCGAGTTCGATGGCAAGTTGACATACCACGCGAATGCGGGACCGGTCAACGAGTTGCCAAACAAACGCAACTTCAAGAAATCACTCACATCACCACACTGAATCGTGAATCGTCCAACGTGCTCGACGGTGGACTGATCTCCAGTCCCTGAAGGTGATGAAATCAGGCACGCGAAAACCACGTGGAAAGGGGTAGTATCTCTCAACCTAATTTGGATATGGTTTTCGGTATACTGGTGGCATCGCTGGTCTAATTCCGAAACCAAACTGATACGCCAGCATCTGTGCTACCTGATCTCGAATCACATTAATGTCTTGCCCCCCGAGTTGCCCCCCTTGTGGTACGAATCCACCACGATCCATGCCAAGCCCGTTTAGAGGAGGAGGCACGTGTTGAGGGTAACCACGTGGCGTAACATGATCATTGTTGATCGTTCCTCCACCAACAATACCACTCATCGGAGCCACGTAGGGTCTGGCCTCCGAGATATTTTGTGGATTCACATTGTGCACTCTTGGCGGCTCAACACAAGTGTTAGCCGCAGTGCTGGTCTCGCCAAGATTTACTCTCGACGGACTTGTTGGGTTCAACACCGGTGTCGGTGGAACGCCCTGTCTCGGTTGAGTATCTCTGACACCATTGACTGGAAAGCTATTGGTGCCAGTGTCGTTGTGTAACGGATTCTCGCCGCTTAACGGCAAAGCCCTTGTTTGCGGCACTGGCCTATTCAAAAACTCTCTAATCTCATTAAAATCACGTCTGTTACTTTCAAAATCCATTTTGTTTTATCTACGACTTCAACCAATTGGCTAACACGTCTATCAATCCGAGAGCTAAGACCGTCAAGACGTCCATCCAAAGAGGCTAAGTGAAGTTTTACCTGTTGGTTATCAGCCATGACTTGGCGAAGCATGCGCGTTATTTCACCATGGTCGGCAGTTTGCGCCACTGCTGGCACTTCCCCTCCGGCGTCATTGCTAGAACCGTTGTTTGAACCGTCACTCTGGTTAGTCTCTACATTGACCATTTGCTCTTCCTCCACTGAAGTTTGTGGAAGATCGCCCTCGTGATTCCTCCGTCGCGGAGCCATTCGATTACACGGGTCCCACCAGGTGTAACATTTATTTCGTTAGCGAAACTCACGTGTTGAATGCGCACTGTTTTCAAGTAAACACAAGCACAAAGTCAATCACAATCGTCAAATATCCGGATCGATTAAACAGAAACCAAGACGACCGTCAAATATCCACCGCCGGCGTCGGCGATGTTGATTTGATCGATGCACCTTTGACTTCTAACCAGAAAAACCGTTACTCGGTTCACCACCTGTGCAAACTACGTTCGAACGAGGGTGTTCAACGAAAAACGAGAAACCAAACCGGAAGTGTTCTAAGTTACGTTACCTATACTCCTATGGAGGTTCCTCTGGAGAGCTCCGCGACTACGACTACAGGCTACGATCTACGACTCTGCAAAGGAGGTCTTTGACAGAGCGGTTCTACGAAACTAGAGAGAAAAAATGATAATTCTACGACGGTGCAGTTTGAGATTTGATTTTGCCATCTTCAGCTTCTCTCTCTTCCCAATCTTTATACTTCGCGCTTCTCCCCGTCGTAGTAACTGCCTTCGCGCCTTTGTCTCTCACGTCTTCATTCCTGTCAACCGTGCAGGTGAATTCCTCCTTGTTGCATAACTCCCATGAGTGCGAAACCGCTTAGACACGCGGAAACTTAGCCAAAACGACACTGAGCCAAAATCCACAATTGCTGAACTCTCGCCACCGCGACGTTGTTTTCTATTAAACAACATCGTTTCAGTACCGCGACGGTGTTGATATCTCCTACGATGTCGTTTTCGACTAAACGACACCGTCTAAAATAACCCTTAAAATATTAATTAGTTAAATCGGCCATCATTATTGACATGCCGTCAAACTTTCACTTCGCGGCGCCATTCTTAATTAAACAACATCGTCTTCTAGTTATGCGATGTTGTTGAACTTCGCGATGCCGTTTTAAATTTAACACTGTCGTTTTAACTATTGCGGCATCGTTTTTAAATCCGCGGTGTCGTTTCTTTCCTCTTGCAGCATCGTTTTCAACTAAACGACACCGTCCTAAATAGTCATTAAAAATATTAATTAATTAATCCGGCCATCACTAGTCCAACTTGTGCGTTGACCAACGACATCAATAGCGCCAAAACGGCTACGTTTGTTTTTCCTTTTGCGACATTGTTTTTTATTTCAAACACTGCCGTTTGCTAGTACAGCGGTACCGTTGGGCTTACTCGCGGTACCGTTTTTAATTAAACGATACCGCTAATATAGCCAAAAAAATATCAATCCATGGAACCGCCGCCAGTCTGCACTCGCATTGGGCTTGGCGAATTTTGGTCACTTACCCGATATGGTTTTTAATTAATCGGTACCGCTTATCAAGGCTCTCGCGGTGTCGTTTTTAAATCCGCGATACCGTTTTAACTCTCCGCGATGCCGCTTGTCCCCATGCTGTACCGTTTCTCCCCTTCCAACAAGGAATAAAAATAATAATTAATTAGAAAAACTCCTTCTCCAATATCCACACTAAACGCGCGGCTCGCCTCTTATTTTCCGGTAAACAGTGTCGTTTCCAGTGCCGCGGTACCGCTGAGCTTCCTTGCGGTACCATTTTTTGTTTCGCGTTATCGTTTTACCCATCCGCGATGCTGCTTGTCTCTACGCGGTGTCGTTTCTCTCTCCTTCTCCGATAAGTAATAAAAAACACACTCATTTTCCAACAACACCAATCTTGCCACCCATGTCTCACATCAATTGTTTTCTAGTAAACAATGTCGTTTCAAGTGTCGCGGTACCGCTGAGTTTCCTTGCAGTGTCATTTTCTAGTTGAGCGAAACCATTGGATCTCGCTGCGGCGTCGCTTGTCTCCAAACGATACCTTTTTTCTGTTTCGCGGTATCGTTTTAATTCTCCGTGATGCCGCTTAACTCCAAACGACACCGCTTTTTTACCCGCGGTATCGAATTAAATGCCTAGGCAAATTAATGTGTCATTTAATTCATGTCAAATTAATTTTAGGTGTAAACAACAAGTCATGCATCTTGCTTACTGAGAGAGGAGGACATGAGCTATTCTTCATGTTTTGCTGCGGATGGAGTGACATTAATAGGACATCAATATAATTGAGAATACCTCTCAAATGAAGTTGATAAGTGATAACTAGACTTTTTTTTTTTGTTGAATGACTTTTCTTTTACAATTCATTAATCGCGCCCTAATTTATGTTTTCATGCCTTAGTTTCTGAAAAATAACCTTTTAGTGGATTCATTTTTAGCACCATCTGCACTTCGTATTGAGAGTAATTCAACTATTTTTAGATGATTGATAGTACATAACCATTTAAGATATATGTCCTTTTAAACATCCACAGTTATTTGGTTGGTAAAAGCTCTGATAAGAAAATCGCGTTGTAGAACAGAATTTCGAGATGATTAACTATTTTATAATTAAAAACATGATAATTGTGGTACATATTAAATTATAAGATGATACCGTGTAAATTATAAGATTAACTAAAGAAATATTTGTGTGCAAAATTCTATAAATACGAAATAAAAAAATATATTAATTAATGAAAAATATAAACAATTTATCTCATCCCACCGGATATGTGCCGCTCAATAATAAGTCGAATCAACAATCGACCATCGGAGTGGATATAGATATATAGATAGATGAACGTAACTCATGCACAAACTGATAAGGCGGATTTAGCAAATAATAGAACAACAGGACAAACAAAGCGCCCTCATCCCTGCCAATCACGCATCTGCTCGCAAATCACATCTTCCCCTATATTGAATAGAAACAAACTCTTACACGAGCACCAATAAATTAATTGCGTGGTTAAATATTATATTTAAATTTCTTCCAACAATTCGATTCGAGTTATTAAAATAAAGTGTTTTGTTACATGATATCATAATTGATATTTTTTTTTTTTTTAGAAGTTGACTTTTTTTAAAATAAGGGTGATATAGGTTTGTGACTTTTTCAGACAAATGAGTAGCCGGACAAACAAGAATCTGTTGGCAATGGTTAGAGTTTCAAGAACTCCATATTACTTATTATTCCTTCCTTCAGCAACACCACAAGAGACGAAATGAGGGCTGAGCTATATATATACCATTACTATTCTACTTGTCGAATTCAGTTCAACTAACAGAAATCCAAGCCCCATAATTAGTACACATCGGAAATAATATTAAGTAGCAGGTACTGCCGTCTCGAGAAACATGAAGAAAAGTAGCATCACAGTGAGTGCTGTGACGGCGTTGTGGTTTCTCCAGCTGGGATTCGGCGGCGTAACTGTTGCCGTCGCCGACGAGCCCTACGCCACTTACTGCAGCCCCGACATGTACTTCAAGGGCGACCACGAACTCAAGGCGAACACTAAGATCCTGCTGCATGATTTGCTGGAGAGAACAACCGCTTCGAAGGACTCCGACATCGAGACAAAACTCCAATACCCGGCCGACAAACCTCACGTTTACGGTGCCGCTTTCTGTCAGAAGTCTGAACCGGCGGCCTGTGTGGCGTGTCTCAAGGCCGCTAAAAGGCAGCTTCTTCGTGGGTGTTACCACAGCGCCGGTGCGGAGTTCTACTCCGAGCTTTGTTACCTGAGATATGAGATTTATAACTTCATGTCTTGAATGTACGATTGAGGACGAAACTTAGTATCCCTGTTGCATGGCGACGTGGTCTAGCAATCTTTTCTGTTGTACTTTCAGAACTAGCCCACTACTCATGGGCAATCAACTTTTTTTGGCTGATAAAATAAAATTACCAAGTGGTATCTTGAGAAAGCTTAACTCAGTCAAAGTTTTTGAAAGGGCTAATACCATTGGAAATACCATTCTTTAGCGAAATTGTCATTTATATTACGTACTTTCAATAAACACAAAAATATTCCAATGTATTAGAGGTTTGTGTCATTTGTGTTACGCGAATTTCTGTTGACCGTTAGAATTGACGGTTGACCTGACGGTGGTCAACTTATATTTGACTATTGCTTATGTGGCGTTTAGGTGTTGTCCACCTAGGTGCCATGTAGGAAATTAATATTTGAAAAATATTAATTTAATTTTCGGAAAAAAATTAATATTATTAATTTATTTTTAAATAAATATTTTCTAAACAATGGCCCTCTGTCTTCCTCCGCAATCCTTACTGCCAGGGTTCATTCCTCTCGTCGCCGACGCCGTCATGCCACATCTGCTTCTTCGGACGATCCCAACTCCTCGATGCGCCGTGCGATTTGGCTTCTTCCTTGGGCTCTGGGCAGAGGCTGAGCGGCGACAACGCAACGACGCGCAGCCAAATCGAATCCCTTCTTCCCTATTCTCCAAGGCGGCAAGGAAAACAACTGCTTCATCCGCATTCAATGGAGACAACGACCTCCATCTCTCGCCGCCTCCCAATCACGGAAGTGAATCCCCCAGCTCACTGCTCTATTGTTCTTACGGCCGACACACTTCGACGGTGATGACGCTGCAGCCGCGGGAGGAATCTTCGTTCCAGAGAAGGAATTTGCTTTCGGCTCTCCAATCTCGCATCCACAACCTATCCTAGTGACTTCCTTGGCTTTCTCCACTGGTGGATTTCCAGGATCGGTGATCCGAACCCGACGTCGACGATGACGACGACCATCACCAAACCAGCTATCCGAACCCGGCGTCGATGACAACGATAACCAGATCCCTGGATCTGGATCTAAATCTCCCTCCGCCTCCCGATTCCGCTTAACCTGTCTAATCTGCCTGTTTTTGTATTATAGATGAGGATGAATCCAGATCTGTCGATGAGATTTGGAGAAGGAGAGCAGTGGGCGGAGGGAGGCGGCAGCGTTCCATTTGCAGATAAAGCAAGTCTCCGGCAGCGTTGATACTCTTCTGTCAAGCTTGGGTGGAGATGGGATAAATATGGAGAGGAATAAGGTTCTTTTGTTCTTCGAGAGTGACGAAGAGGCAGGGTGAATAATTTCCCTTTTCTATTTTACTTTTATCCTTTTCTTTATCTTTTTCTTCTAATTAAATGCAAAAATTAGATAGGCGGGTTATAATTTCCACGTCAGCGTGACAGGTAGGCAATGACTAGGCATTGACTAGTCTCCCAGTTAAATATAACAGTCAAACTAACGGAAAAGACGATTTGGTATACAAATGTCATATCAATAGTTTTGTAATATAAATGGCAAAGTCGCTAAAGGTTGGTATTTTTAGTGGTATTAGCCCTTTTTGAAATGGTAAAATGCAAAATTTCATATAAAGGTCGTCTAGGATTTAATGAGGTTTCAGTATAATCACTCATTTTGTATAGGATTTTGCCACATTCACATGTTTGTAAAGGGTTCCGAGAACGAGGGATTTCAACGTCTCGCGAATTTCGAAAACATGCCATGACCCAACCATTTTTGGAATATCTCATTTCTATATATGTATTCTAAAATTATCCTCTCCTCTCTTCTTCACACAATCATGGTTCTTCTCCTCTTCCCGACCTCCACCCTCATCAAACATGTTCTTCCTCGAACCTGCTTTTCTATGCACAACAACGGTAATAAAAACGTAAAACGAGTAACGAACAATGCAGGATTTACGTGGTTTCCTTGAGAATCGGGACTAGTCCGCGGGAGAGTTTGCTCTCCAGCTGAAGTTTTATTATTTGTGATTGTTTCTGGCCGGCGGCCATACATTAGTTTTATACCCTTCTTTACAATTTCCTAGGGTAATACAATGAGGACAGTCCAAAAGGAATGCGGCTGGATCCTTGGGCTCCACGTATGCAGCACATAGGCTGGGCCTGGACGGCTGGGCCTTGCCCATTAAACGGTGGTGCAGAATTTGGCTAGTATTTGGTTTCATATTCCAAATTCCACCACGTCTCCCTTGCAGATTGCACATTGTCAAACTCCATGGACAAAGCAGAAGAGAAAAAAGAAGTAGAAGAGAAGTAGGAGCCACCGATGCATCAATGGTAAAATGAACAAAAAAGGGAAAGAACAGTTTCAAACAGGAAGGAAACAAATGAAAGTGAAAAGATTAAACCTGGGTCACGTCGATGTAGTCAAGAAAGTTAAGGAGGATAAAATGCAGCACTTTGATTAGTTATAAGTAAATATAATTCCTTTTATTTTAACGATAAATCAATTGTGTTGTGATCACACGTGAAAGTATTTATTCTAGACCTCGTATCTGAACCAAACTACATACACTTCTCATTATTTGAGCCATAATACCTTGGACTTATGCCATGTTTGGTTCAAACGGTATGATGCCTCAAGGGAGACCCATAGGGTCTTTGTCGCTGATTAGACCTAGAGCACGAGCCTTAACACAAGGTAGGATTAGACCACGACCACATACTGGCCCTAACAGCTCATGTATTTTCAAAATCAATCCTCGATTCTTGATTATGCATGGGAGTGTTTATTGACTCGCTAAAACACAACACCAAACTACGACCAAGTGTAATCGCAGATCGGGCGTGCAGTATAGTGGGTTCAATTTTACCTGTCAACCCAGGTCCTAGACGTACTGCCTACTCCATGAACTTCTATTATCTAGCAGTAAAAGTTGAGTGAAGATCATCAAAAACAAAAGCAAACAGAAAGCAAGCAATGTTTATATTCAGATTAAGAAGGCTCACTCAGGTATGAGTTCCCTAGACTGCAGTTAGGTAAAGTTGTATTTCACCTAAGTCAAGTCGATTGATGTTTAAACTGCGGAAAGTTCTTAAATAGTCTGGAGTCTCGACTAAAGTGCTCCAGACTCTCTCAGTTTGAGTACCTACGGGCGACCAACCTCTGCCGCGTAAGCTAACTGAGACAATAAGATTCAAACTTCCTCTGTTGGGTTCTACCCTAGTATAGAGTAGTGAATCGACTTCTCGACTAAATTCGCCGATTCACTACTTCCAATTCAAGATGCTCTATTGACCTATGTAGAGATTATCTTTCTAGGGCAAAGCAAGAATCACTAGAATTTGATCAAGACTCAAGCAATTTTTAATAAATACTGCCACTGGATAAAATCAATCAATCATTCATGGCAAAGGATTCATACAACTCTTCCTAACATACAATCTAGGGTTCTTACATACCCAAGTTGAGTTTTACTATTTAGAGCAGGAATTAACCAAAATTTTGTGCATGATACTATACCCTAACCTCCAATGGATAAACCCCCAGTCCCTAGTTCTCTAACCCAAGCCACGAGATTCATTTAATCTAAAAAAATAATAACCGACGGTTCTGATTCAGCGAAATATATTGAAGTGCAAAAACCAAGTGTGAACACAGGCGTACGGCATACGACTGATGTACGCTAGCCTTTGACACATATATGGTTCAGGCTAGCGTACGTCTGTCGTACATTGTACGTCCATCGAGTTTTACTATTTAGAGCAGGAATTAACCAAAATTTTGTGCATGATACTATACCCTAACCTCCAATGGATAAACCCCAGTCCCTAGTTCTCTAACCCAAGCCACGAGATTCATTTAATCTAAAAAAATAATAACCGACGGTTCTGATTCAGCGAAATATATTGAAGTGCAAAAACCAAGTGTGAACACAAGCGTACGGCATACGACTGACGTATATATATATTCAAGCTAATTAGTGCGTTCGGTGAACTCACAAAAATTATTGCGTTCAATACACCCAACTCAAAAAGTAGTTTTAAGGTATCGGATTTTTAATTTAAATTTGTAGAATTAGTGTAATATGATATAACATATGATAACAACTAATTAGTGGATTATCCTAAGCCCTAGACCTCCAATTTTGAGTTCTATACCTAAACGCCAAATTGTAAACCCTAACCCCAAATCTCTAAACTCTAAATCCTTCAAATTAAAGTAAATCGTTAATGATTTTTGTGCAAATTCATGTGCGTTATTGTTCATCATATTATAAATGATGATCGACATCATTTTGACATAAATCGCATATTTAAAATGACGGTTATGAAACGAGTGCACTAAATTCAAAAAAAAAATGAGTGCACTAAAGACGCTACCATATATATAAACCATACTAAAAGTATTCTCTCCCAAACGTTGGTAAAAGTCCACAACTTTTAAAACTAGCTTATAACCCGGCCCGTTGGCCCGAATATTCATATTTGATTATTTATATTTTTATGTTACGTTTAAATCTATCAACTAGTTTAATTTTATTGACAATCCTTCGATCGAGATGATACATATATAAAGAATATATCGATCAAAAATTTGAAGAAATATAGAAATGTATCATTGATCTCATTTTCATAATGATAATTAAGTTCCCGATAAAATGCTATTGGTTAGTTGATAATCAAGAAATATAGAGTATAAAAGCTCACTGAAATTCCCTCACGAACCATAGATAGTTTGAAACTAAATTTTAAACCTCACAATCCTACATAAAGGTTCAATGCTTTCATTTTAAGAACAATATTTCACTCATCAAAAAGAAATAGAGAGTTGTTGATTCAAGTCAACTATATGCTAACAACTCACCTAAGAGGGGACCATCACAACTTGAGAGCAAACGTCAAATTAGGGCTCTATCAAAGTAATAAGGAACAAAATTAGACACTCCTTCTCTATTAGTTCCAGTAGGTTGAATAAAGAATCGACCGACCTACTTCAGTAAATCAATCGATGATTCCTACTTTTAAGATATAATTAGGTCACCATAGCTTCAACAACCATAAACCTAAAGATCCAATAGCCACCACTCTCCGTTGTACAATAAATTTTTATCCACTGTATCTTCAATATCAAGGCGTATGTTTCAACTAAATATTTAATTTTTAATCCTCCTTCTACACCTCAATTTATTGAACTCCATTCTATTCGCCATTGATTGATATCGGAATTGAAATCTTTTACTTGCCCAGTTTAAATCCCCAAGAATAAAATCGTAGTGCCAAGAGACTGGAAGATTGATTTTCAAAGGCGGCCTTGTACTGTGAAGTGAAGGGGAGCAAACTATTGCACCGTGGACGGAATTTCAGAGGTTGTTAGAAAGAGATAAGAACAAATATAAAAAATCACAAATTGAAAAATAAATTGAAAATGTAAGGACACAACACGTAGTAATAGAATTAGTTTCTTCCATGTTGGCCAATTACCAATTTACATTTAGTGACAATTAAGGAGAGAGCAGTAATTATAGAATTGAGAAACTACATAAACTCTGTTATGAAAATTGATGTATCAATCACCATAAAAATACATATGGTAGACTTAGTGGGCTTGCTAATCATGATGAAAAAGTCCTATGATTTTCAGAGTGTCACCTCGTGTATGTTTTGTGTTAAAAAAGACACAAAAAATTTGTTTAGTCTAATTGGTTATGATTGTTGTCTTTATTTGTAGAGACCCGGGTTCAAATCCTGATATTGACCTTTTTTATATGGAATAAATAATTAATTGTAAAGACAAAACTGTCCTTCCTACTTTTACTCTCGTTTCATGAAATATGAAATAGAGAAAAGTAGATAAAACTCTACTATATATTATTGGAGGACAAGATTCCTGTATTTAGGAAAAGTACAAATAAGCATACCCATCCTTCACGTGCCTCTCACTCTTGTGTTTTGTTTTGCATGCGATAACATTCTAATGCAGAAACCTGAAGGACTATTTATAGGGACTTTTTCCAGAAATATCACTGTTTAAAAAAAGAATTCGAAAAATACCATTTAACCCCCAAAAATTCCAAAAATACCACATTTTTCAAAAACCGCCACTCCACCCTGCGGTTTTCTATGCAAATTGCGGGGCTAAGGGGCGGTTATAAAAAAAAATTGGACCAAACCGCTGGGTGGGGTGGCGGTTTGGTCCCAAAAAAAAATCTCCGAACAACTCCTTACTTCGGCGGAAACTTCAAACGAACATAACTTTGCACTTGGGTATCCGATCATAGCGATTTTTTTTCATTTTGAATAAATTTTCAAGATCTACAACTTTTACTAGGATGAAATTTTCAAAATAGGAATTAGTTGTGGATATACGGGACCTTGAGAATAACTTTACCTTTACTTTTCCAAAATCCATGTACATTTTAAAATTATGATGATATTAAAAGTTGTAGATCTTGAAAAGTTATGCGGAATCAAAAAAAATTCATGACGTTCGGATTTTGGAGCACAAAGTTATGGCTGCCCAAAGTTTGACGAAAGGCGAGACCCGGCGGTTTGTGGCTTGCAAGATCTCAAAAAGTTTGCGGCCTCCATTTTTTGAATCCAAATAACTTTTTGAGATCTTGCAAGCTACAAACCGCCGGGTCCCGCCTTCGTCTCGAAAAAACGTCATTTGCCACCCCGAACGAGCTTTTTTTATTTCGTTAAACTTTGGGCGGCCATAACTTTGTGCTCCAAAATCCGAACGTCATGAATTTTTTTTTTATTCCTCATAACTTTGCAAGATCTACAACTTTTAACATAATCATAATTTCAAAATGTACATAGATTTGTGAATAGTAAAGGTAAAGTTATTCCCAAGGTCCCACATATCCACAAATAATTCCTGTTTTGAAAATTTCATCCTAGTAAAAGTTGTAGATCTTGAAAAGTTATGCGAAATAAAAAAAACGCTACGATAGGATACCCGAGTGCAAAGTTACGTTCGTTTGAAGTTTCGGCCGAAGTTAGGAGTTGATCGGAAAAAAAAAAAATTTTCTTATAACCGCCCCTTAGCCCCGCGGTTTGCATAGAAAACCGCACTCCTGCCCAACAGTTTTCGTGTAAACCGCAGGGTGGGGTGGCGGTTTTTAAAAAAGGGTGGTATTTTTGGAATTTTTTGGATTAGGTGGTATTTTTAAAAAAAAAATTTAAACAGTGGTAAATTTGGATTTTTTCCTATTTATAGCCAATACTAGCTACTAGCTGGTACTACCGAAATACAATAACTCATCCATCCTACCCTTAAAAATAGCTTTAAGAGTATAGCGTCTCTCACTAGCTACCACTACTCATAAGAGTGACGAACTCACATCGCAATGGAGTTCCCCTCTCCAAGCGATCACCTCAACACAATATTCACCGCATTAGCCTTTGCCATTCTCGCCCTCGCCCTCGCCCTCTACCGTCACTCAAAAACCTCCACCACTCCTCCTCCGCCGCCTCCCATGGCGTGCGGCGCGTGGCCGGTAATCGGCCACCTCGGCCTCTTCACGAGCCGGAGCAGCCTCCCCCACGTCGCCCTCGGATCCCAGGCCGACGAACACGGCCCAATCTTCTCCCTCCGTCTCGGGGTCCATCAAGCCGTGGTCATCAACTCATGGGAACTCGCCAAGGAAGTACACACAACCCACGACGTGTTCGTCTCCGCGCGACCGAACCTCACCGCCAGCAAGCTCCTCAGCTACGACATGGTCATGTTCGGGTTCGCCCCCAACGGCCCTTACTGGCGGGAGATGCGGAAGTTCCTCACCCTCGAGCTCCAGTCCCCTCGTTGGATCGAACTGTGGAGACACGTTCGAGCCTCCGAGATGACTCTTCTGGTAAGGCAGGTCATGGACGAGTCCCGGAAGCTGGAGAAGCGAAACGATGTCGATAGTGGAAGCTCTTTCGTTAAGATCGAGTTGAAGAGGTTATTTAGGGACATGACGTTGAACATGAACCTGAGGATGGTCGTTGGGGAGAGGTTGGAGGCCCGGCGGTGCAGGAAGGCGCTTAAGGAATTTTCGCGGTACTTGGGCATGTTTGTGGTGAGGGATGCGGTGCCGTTTTTGGGTTGGATGGACGTGGGAGGGCATGAGAAGGCTATGAAGAGAGTGGCTGGAGATCTCGACGACTTTCTTGATCGGTGGTTGGAGGAGCACCGCCGGAAGAGGGCCAGCGGCGGAGGTGAGGAAAGGGATCATCAAGATTTCATGGACGCGATGCTTTCAGTACTCGATGGTGCAAACTTCGCCGCCGGGCATGATCCTGATGTGGTTAACAAGTCGGCTTGTTTGGTAACTATTAATTAATTAAGATAACTCTTTTAATTATTTGTGTTTTTTAATAAAAAAAACTATTTTCATGCATGTCAATACTAGCAGAAAGTTAGGTGATAGTTACTCTTTATGGCTAAAAGTTAGGTAATAATTTTAATGACTTATTAGCAATGATCTCATAACTAATCGAAAAAGGATAGGTACAATATAAAGAAAACTTATAAAGTTTCGTATCTCACCTTTTCTAATTTGAGCGTTATAGGTTCATGGGAGACATGTCAAGCGACACACTTTTCGCTCGGGATTTCGGTGAAAATTTCATTTTTGGTCATCATAAAGATTTTAAACTAGGTTTTCTGACGCACCTCCAATGGTTGTAATTGACACGTCTGACTTTTCTTACTATAAAGTTGATAAAGATTATATCTAAATTAGATTGATGACCAATTTATCATGATTTTTCGGTTGCATTTTCATTGAAAAATATTTGAATTGCAAAAGCGATAAATTTATTTAAAAATCTCTCATAATATATAATATATATTTTTTTTCGCCGTGAAAATATTTGAGTTGCAAAAGCGATTATGACTATTTTTTCGCATGGCAAATTTGGCAGAATGTAATTGCTGCGGGATCCGAAACGACAACGGTCACACTTACGTGGGCGATTTCCTTACTTCTCAACAACACCCACGTCCTAAAAAAAGCCTACGAAGAACTAGACAAATGGGTTGGCAAGCAAAGACCAGTCAACGAATCCGACATCCCCAACCTCACTTATCTCCAAGCCATCGTCAAAGAGACACTGCGGCTGTATCCGCCGTCGCCGCTGTCGGGACCGCGCGTGTTCACTGAGGATCGCACGGTCCACGGCTACCGAGTCCGGAAGGGCACCCAGCTCATTACCAATATCTGGAAGATCCAGAGGGACTCGAGGGCCTGGGCAGACCCATTGGAGTTTCGGCCCGAGAGATTCTTGGGCCGAAACGAGCAGGTGGACTTCAAGGCCCATCAGAGCTTCGAGTTCCTGCCGTTCGGCAGTGGGAGGAGGATATGTTCCGGGATGGCGTTTGGGATGGAGATGGTGAATTTGTTGCTGGCTGGGTTCCTGCAAGCGTTTGAGATTCGGAGAAGTGGGGATGAATTGGTTGATATGACGGGGCGGCCTGGGTTGACTACTGTGAAGGCTAGCCGACTTGAAATCCTGGTTTCGCCTCGTCTTTCTCATTAGGTTTTGGATGACGGTATAGATCGTGGGATATATTTAGATTAGGGTTGTTTTTGGCTGTATGTTGTATATTATACAGAAATACAGGGTTGGTCTAGTTATACTACATCAAGTGGGTTTAATTTAATTTTTGGGGCCAACAATCAATGAAAAAAGTCGATCATTTAGAGAAGTGTTGTTTAAAAATTGTTTTTTGCTGATAAGTTATGTAGAAAACCCAAAAACAAACACAGCGAATATAAAATATCAATAATGAAAATGAGATTCAAGTTCTAATAAGAAACTGAAAAAAAATTTAGTACTTGATAATTCGATCTTTAATCCTTTTAATTCAGCGAAGGAGAATTAAAGGTTACGGATTACAAGGAGGGGAATTGGAATTTTTGTAGAACCGCTGGCACATTTTAAGAGAGGGTGTTTAGGCAGGAATTAATAAGATACTTATAAAATTAATATAAATTTCCAAAAAAATCATATATCATTCTTTTAACATTGTAATTCCAAAAATTTTGCTTAGAAAAATCATATCTTCTGCGTTCTAGAATATGATACTCATTAGGATTTTTTTTTTTTTTGGAGTAAACAAGTTTTACTTCATTGTACCACTAGCATATTATAATAATATCACTTAAAGCCGCATGCATGCGAAAGAATTGAGGATGAAGGAGATGATGATTCAACATCTTTGGAGCCGGTCATGTGAAAGAAAGCACTTAAATCCGCATAGACTCTTCAAAAATACTTAATGCAATTAAAGAAGACAATACCGGAGACTTTGAGTGCAATGAGTAAAGTTCAAGAAGAATTTCTATTAGACTTGAACTTCAAGAATAAACAAACAACTATATATACATATTTTTCTAGATTATCCTACCTATATAATAAATTTCTAAATAAATTATATTTTTATAATTATCAATTTATAGAGTTTAAAATACATCTATTTATGTAGGTTGGTTCTCAAAAATTATTATCTTATTATTTTATTAAATTTGCTCATTTTTTACACTGCCGAAGAGAAATTATTAATTTATACAAGATTATTAATTTAAATAGATTATACTGTACTTGTTATACAATTTATTTTCATATTAATTTTTTTTAATAATTTATGAATATCTCAAAGAAAAGAAAAAGTACATTAGAATATTGACGTCACATTTGGGTTAACATGCAGTGGGTTAATTACAGAGAGCAGCCACATATCCGCCATGGTTTTCAGTTGAGGATGGAAACTTTGTACTTGTACCATAATCTTTATCTTGTCAATTTTTGTGCTGGGAATTTCCACATCGTGATTCTTTCGATGGCCAACTTGCAAAACAAGACGCTGAGGTACGAGAACTTGATGCATCTCCATTGACCTGTATTTCGATCCCTTTAGCATCATCAATACTGCAAAACGAGTCGCTGAGGTACGACAACTTGATACATTGAACCGGTCCTATGCATTCCTTTCTTGTTTATATATCCGTCAGCTTTAGTACATCACATCACGTGGCAAGCAAGGAGCCCTTGATAAACCAGGCCTTAAGGCTGTGGAAATTAAACATTAACGGCGCCAAAACAGCTCTCTCCGTCGGCAATATTGTTTCGTCCCCCTGCGCATGTAGTTACCACTACAAAAAAATGAGGTTTGGGGACGACAAAAGTCGTCCCTGGAAATAGGAAAAATCGTCCCTATAGTTTTTGGGACAACTAAGTCGTCTCTAAAGAGTGGTTTCCTATACTCTTGTCCTCTATTCTTTTGTGGACGAAAAAAAGCTAGGTCGTCCCCATTACTAAGGACGACAGTCGTCCCTGATACTCGCAAGTCGCCGTCTCGTTTCTTGTCCATGAAAGACAAAATGTCGTCCCCATAGCTATAACTTTAGCGACAATAAGTCGTCCCCTAAACATAATTTCTAGGGACAACCTGTTGTCCCTAATACCCAATTTCATAATTGCGTTGAGCCAATATGGGAATAATTTGTTGTCCCCTTTTCTTTTTATAGGATCGACATGTCGTTCCTATAGGTGTCAAATTGGAGCCCAAAATTGGTCCCCAAAAGCTATATTCAAGGACTACAAGTGCTCTCCTATACTATATGTTTAGAGACGACAAGTTGTCACCTTTGACTTTTAGGGACGAATAATTGTCCCTTAACTTGTATATTAGGGGGACGAGGAGTTGTCACTTATGTGCCTTTTGGGAACGACCAATTGTCCCCTATGTAACTCGCATGAACGACCTGTTGTCCCTCAGCATGTGTCTTTGGGGACGAATAATTGTCTCATGTATAACTTGTGGGGACGATCATTTGTCTCTTAAACCGTCTTTTTTGGGATGCCTAATTGTCACCTATCAACTGGTAGGGACGACCAATCATTCCTTAAAAAGTGTCTTCAGGGGGGTTAATTTGTCACGTACATAACTTATAGGGACGACCAATTGTCTTTAACCTTTATCATTGGGGACGACTCATTGTCACTCATATAATATTTTGGGACAACCTATTGTCCCTTAAGTGGTAGCATAACGGACCCTGAAATGTCGTCCACATAACTTCTAGGGACGACCATGCATCACTTAAACGATGTCTTTGGGGATGAGAGAATGCCACATTTATAAGTTGCGGGGACGATCATATGTCCCTTCACCAATGTAATAGGGAGCATATGTGAAAACCAACATTTAAATCTATATATCAAAATGTCATAAAATCTTCTCCATGAAAAATTAAGCAAAACTACTAAAATGTCATCCCAACATTCATCTTTTAAAAGGCTAAACATTCTCTAGCGAACTATAAAAAATAAATCTACAAAGAAATAGATAACAAGTCACATCCATAATTTATTAATTGCCTCTCTAACAAAAAAATGTACTAACGATTATTTCTGCATAGCCCTCCATGTTCCGCCAACAAACATCCTTCCTCTCTTAGCTCCTAAAAGTATAATCAAACAAAATTTAAAGTTAAGTATAGGTTACTGACATCAATTGAATCAAATGGAAGTTGAGACACAGCTTGGAAAATTAATATGGATCCTCCCCATTAATCAAAGAAGAATAAGAAAATTTTGTCCGGTCGCTTGTAAAGCACACACGCATACTCATTGTGCAAATGGCAAATAGACTAGCAAGTGAAAGGCATAACAACAAACACAGGTACAAAGAGAAGTAAATGAGACAGATGGAAACCCGCAACCCCTAAACTTCAAGAACATGAACCCAAACGAGCCACCCTTTTGTAAAGAAATAGCAAACCAAATCCAGCCACACAATTCTAAAAAATTTCATTACCTTCCACGTTCAACGAAGGCACTTCCGTTTCTAGAACACGTGACATAGTTTCGATTTCTGTGTATGTAGATATGAGGGCAGGACGTGATCTAAGTTTCGTTCTTTTGTTCTTTGCACGAATCATTCCTGCAAAAAGGGTTTTACTAAGACTGTTAGAAATTAAAACGTAGACTGTAAATCACAGAACAACATAATCTGGAAATCAAACATGAGAGTAATAGAGTAGTTAAAATGAACAAAAACTTGCAGGTGAGAATGCGACTAGGCCAGATTTCGGATGATTCACACATCCTTTACCCTAAGAACACGAAACAGGTGGCGAAGATAAAAATCGAGAAGCAGGGATGCAGGTTGGAAAAAAAAATTATGAACCCTAAACAATTAGTAATCATGAACGGAAACCAACCAGGCTGAGGCAGAGATTAGCTTACCGAGCTGTCACGACGGAACGCAGAGATGCGAAAATTAGAGAGGAGTAGGAGGGGAATAGAGCTCCAGAAACTAGATCTATAAGGGCATAGAGCTGCGAAACTAACGTTGGGAGGGGAAAAGATTTTAAAGGATTTGGGTCTATCTTAAGGAAGGAAATCGCAAGGGAAAATCGGATTTTGCCGCCAAAAGCATATTTACGGCCGCAAAAAATTGGAGTTAGAGGGAAGTTGGGCTGCCATTACCGGGAAAAGGAATAAGACGTGTTTGCCTAGGTGAATTTTGAAATTTTGGGTAAAAGAGGCCGCCAACTTCTTTCAAATTAATAGAGCCATTTTGCATAATCACTTGATTTTTCAGTTTCAGTATATATCCCATTGAATACTAACTTCCTGATCATTGAGTTTAGAGTTGACGAAATCATTAACCCAAGATATGGTTTCATTAACCCAACCCTTGCCTAATTTGTTGTTAGGGCAAGCTTTGTTGCAAGCGGCGATGAGTTGGTGGAGAGTAACTCCCGCATTGCACATATTGGCTAGGGCTCTCTGCTGTACTGCTTCCCATAGTACTCCGACGACATCTCCTCGCATTCTTCCTTGTATGTTTCCACCTAGCCACGCACATAGACACACGCTCATCAATAATCGGAGTCGAACGTAGATCAAAACCCCGACCGGCAAAACCCTCAAATTGTAGTTGTACCATCGTATGGAGATATATGATATTGACTGAGTAGAGATATATTGAGGTCAACATTCAATTCAAATTTTTTTTTTTTTTTGAAATTTTTGGCTAATAAATACTATTTACCTAAACCCAAGTCGACCCATTGATTATGGGAAGTGAATGGTGACGTATATATGGGTTTGGAAGTATGTAGATGGGTTTGAGTAGGGTATGAATATTTACTTCCATAATCTAAATGTGTATGAGTTGGGTATGGATACTCATTTATTCGAGGGTGTTTTAATTACATTAAAAAATTAGACTTACTTGTAGGACTTCAAAAGTTTTAGGTACCAAAATGTAATACACAAAAAATTAGATACTAAAATGTAATGTTCCATCAATATTTTGAGGACTTATATGCCACAAAATAAATTTATGTTATAAATCTAAAGATCTATTAAGTTTAGGTATCGAACTGTAATTTGCATAGTTGATGCTTAATTTCTTTTATGATGATGTATTTAAGATGATAAATATTTTCTTTTTTATAGAAAATTGAAAACTATTTATTTGAAATGTGTAGATACCTAGCCTAAAATTCCATGTATAATTGTTGAAAATTCTAGCTCGGGTGAGAAAGAAAAACTCTAAAGAGAAGCAAAATGAATACAAACTGGAACTCGCTTAAAATTTCACGCCTTCAAATCTCATAGTAGAAAATGACGACTTTCTAATAAATAATAACCATATATTTTTATTTTTAATTGGACTCGACATTGAGCTAGAAAAGTTAGTCGTGCATGGTTAAATTCCAAATTCTCTAGACCGTTGGTGAGTCATGTATGGACCCATTTATACTTGTCATTAGAATACATAAAAATAGT